GTGCCCCGGTTCCTGGGGGTGCCCGGGTGCTTGGGTGCCCGGGTGCCGGGGTGCCCGGGTGCCCGGGTGCCCGTGTTCCCGGGTGCCCAGGTGCCCAGGTGCCCGGTTGCCCAGGTGCCCAGTAGCTCTATATAGCCCTATAACCCTATAGTTTTGTAGCCATATAGCCCTAATAGCCTTATAGCCCCATAACCCTATAGCCCAATACCCTATAGCCCTATGGCCTTGTAGCCTTGTAGCCCTGTAGCCCTATAGCCCCATAGCCTTCTAGCCCTATAGCCTTATAGCCCCATAGCCCGAAAGCCCTAAACAAAATATGATTGGTTTTTTTTCTCCGGTATCATTCATTGAATTGGAGGTGAGGGGGTGTGATCGAAGTGGAACGGAGAGCCCCCCTACCAGGAAATCGGTTTCGGTTTCGTGTTCGTGCGTGCCGTGCGTGCGGGCGAGGCGAAGCTGCGTGGGCGGGCGAGAAATAAGTCTCCTGTAGCTGAGGCGCGGCCAGACCAAAAGTCTCCCTTCCGGCAAACGGTGGCGTGCGGTGTCCTGCCGGTGTCTCCCCCGTGTCCCGTCGGTGTCCCGATTATGATGATGATGATGATGATGATGATGATGATGATGATGATGATGATGATGATGTTGACGATGATGATGATGATGATGGTGATGGTGATGATGATGGTGTCCCGATGATAGTGATGATGATGTTGACGGTGTTGATGATGATGATGACGATGATGATGATGATGGTGATGGTGGTGATAATGATGATGGTTCCCCGATGGTGATGATTATGTTTTTGAATGATAATGTTGCTGATGATGATCATGATGGTGCCCCGATGATGATGATGATGTTGATGTTCCCGATGATGTTGATGATGACCATATGATTTGATGATGATGATGAAGAAGAAGATGATGATGGTGTCCCGATGATGATGGTGATGAGGTTGATGATGAGCTGTTGATGATGACGGTGATGATGATGGTGGTGCCCCGATGATGATGATGATGATGATGATGATGATGATGATGATGATGATAATGATGATGATGATGATGATGACGATGATGGTGTCCCGATGATGATGAGGTGATGATGAGGTGGTGCTGATGATTTTGATGATGGTGGCCCAATGATGGTGATGATAATGCTGATGTTGATGATGATGGTGCCTCGATGATGTTGATGATGATGGTGATGATGATGGTGACGATGATGTTCCGATGATGATGATGATGATGATGCTGATGCTGATGATGATGATGATGATGATGTTGATGACGATGATGTTGCTAATAATGATGCTGCTGCTGATGATGATGATGATGATCATGTGATGATGATGATGATGATGATGATGATGATGATGATGATGATGATGATGATGATGATGATGATGGTGTTCCGATGATGATGATTATGTTGATGCTGTCGTTCATGATCATGATGATGAAGATGATGATGGTGGTGGTGGTGGTGTTTTGATGATGATGATGGTAATGATGGTGTCCCGATGATGGTGATGTTGATGATGATGATGATGATGATGATGATGATGATGATGATGATGATGATGGTGTCCCGATGCTGGTATCCCCATGATGATGATGGTGATGCTGATGATGTTGATGATGATTGTGATGAGTTGGTCATCATGATGATGATGGTGTCCCGATGATGCTGATGATGATGATATTGATGACCGTGATGATGATGCTGATGATGATGATGATGATGATGATGATGATGATGATGATGATGATGTTGATGCTGATGGAGCTGATGATGATGATGACCTTGATTGTGATATCGATTGTGATACCCATAGTGAGATCGATAGTTAGACCAAATGTGAGATCGATTGTAAGATTGATAGTGAGATTCATAGTGAGATCGATTGTGAGATCGATAGGCAGATCGATTGTGAGATCGATCGAATAATATAGATCGAGTGAGATCGATTGTAAGATCGATCGAGTGAGATCGATCGAGCGAGACCGATAGTGAGATCGATAGTGAGATCGATAGTGAGACCGATCGAGTGAGACGTTGGTTCCTCCCCCCCGAACCTCCTTATCACCCGAAGGTTGGTTGTATAGGTACACATATATATATATATATATATACGTGTGTGTGTTTGTGTGTGTGCGGCAAGTTTGTCTTATCTTGCAAGCCATCTTCAGGCCGAAGGCTTGTGAGCAAACCTGCGGCCTCTGTGGCCAAAGGCCCTGGGGAGGGGGGCCACGGCGAGGCACGCCGCAGACGCAGCTCCCAGCAGCGCCCAGCGCTCCTTCCAGCCGCCCTGCGGTTCGACCCCCTATATGTGGGGCCAGCGGATGGGCGCCGCCCCGGCCGCGGCCCCGGCCGCCGCCGCCGCCGGCGCTCCGCGGCCGCCGCGGCCCGCCGCGGCGGGCGGCACGGCCGCCGCCGGGGACGACGCGGTCCTGGGAGGCTGCAGCTCATCTACAGTGAGCGGCTTGAGTAAGGAATACTTACTTTTCGAAAGGGGCTCGGTCGTTCCTTAGGCTTGCATGCGTTATTTACAGTTCCTTTTGCGTTATCTGTTATTTATCGTTCCTTGTGCGTTCTTCCTTGGGATGAAACAGGGGCTTCGTTCCTTATTTGTCGCTGCTTAGGTCAGGCCGATGACTGTACAGCTCGAGTGAAGTTACGAAGCCGACAGCATCTGCCAAGGACAGCACTCCACATTTTTGATAGCAATATCCACCCCATCTCACCCACGAGTTCCCTGGGACGCAACAGTGGCGTTCCCCGATCCCGAGGCCTCCTGGGCGCACGGCCCGCCGCCCCGGCCGCCGCCCCGCGGCCGCCGCGCCCGGCCGCGGCGGGCGGCACGGCCGCCGCCGGGGACGACGCGGTCCTGGGGGGCCTCCTGGGCGCGCGGCCGCCGGCGCACGACCTCGGCGCCGCCGCGGCGCCGGGGAAGCAGGCGCCTGCCCCTCCTGGGGGGCAGCGATGAGATTTAGTCGTCGTCGTCGTCGTCGCCGCCGTCGTCGTCGTCGTCGTCGTCGTCGCCGTCGCCGTCGCCGTCATTGTCGTCTCATTATTGGATATGCCTCTCCAGTCGGGCGCGCGGGCAGGCGGCCCGCGCGCGCGCGCCCCCCCGAGCGGCGCGCCTGCCAAGCGTCGGCTCGGGCAGCGGCCCGAAGTAGCGTCGGACGACGGAGAAATATCCCAAAGTAGCCTTTTTGGAGTATGGTTTATTTCATGTTGTTCTAGTTTGTTAGTTTGTCGTCCAAATCCGCCTGTGGGGGGACATGCCCGACCTAGCGATGCAGATCCCTGACCTCCTGGGGGCAACGATACGGGGGGATGATGCAGTCAACCCGCACGGTAAGGATGGGCAGCCTTCCCAAGGATACCTTTGCATCCTTGCCTCCTCGGTCCAGCCTGGGCCACTTTCGTTGGCCGCGCCCCGCTGGAAAAGCCTCGACAATGGGCGTCCAAGGCCATTGCATCCGTATTGCGCATCCTCACTATACGGGTTGACTGCAGGCTCAGGAGGGAAGGCATCGACCCCAACGCCCAGTGATCGCCGACGGGTCTGATAGCCCCACCCCGCCCAGGAGCGAGCGGGTTCGCCATCGGGTGGCCTATCGCCGATCTGTTGGCGATGCATCGCCGATTCCAGGTCGATGTTTCCCCCTAAGCCAGTCACCCCCCCTATCGTTGCCCTTTCACTTTCTCTCTTGCGCTGGAGGCACTCCGCTGCACACTCGGGGGAACGGAAGATCCCGAGTTCGCCAGAGCTCGAGCTTACCGACGGTATGACCGTCCTGGCTTTTGACGATCCAGTTTTCGTGGGATGTTGGCAGGGGGAGTTCGCGCCAAGTTTCAGGCTGGGTCTCCTCATTTCCCTGACGGCCCCGTCAGGCCAGACCGAGTCTTGCGCCCCCCCAGAGCACCACCACAGCGCGCCTGGGTATGAGGGCCATCCTGGGCCCTGCGATGGCATGCAGGCCCGTGCGACCTCGGCCAGTGCGGGCGCGTATGCACCTACAGCCTGTAGCAGGCCCCAGGGTGATGGCCCTGGTCAGACACGCTGGGGGTGCGTATACTTGCCCTCTGCACGCCTTCCGCCCTGCTCCCAGACACTTTTTTTTGTTAGCAGCCGAAGGCGAGCGCGCCAACGGCGAGTAAGGTCCGAGCGGGCCGCGCGGGGGCCTATATTTACCTAGCGCGGAGCAGAGCAGGACCTACCGCCGAAGCCTCCTGCTCCCAGACACGCGATGTCTCGGTTTTTTCAACACGGGGCCCGCGCGCACGTCCCGACCCTCTCCCCGGGGCCGGTGTTGTGCCCCGCGATCGGCTTTGGCCGGCCCCCGGGGCCCGGCGAGGCCCCCCCGAGAGGCCGAGCACGGCCGAGGACCTCCCGCCGGGATCTCTCTCACGCCACGAGCGTGTCTGGGCGCCTGGCCTCCGCCCGCCCTTCCTCCTCCGCCTCCCCGGGCCCGGGCGGCAGGCCGCCAGCGACGACGCGGTGCTGGGCTCCATCGTCGCGGGGGGGCCCGGGCGGCAGGCCGCCAGCGACGACGCGGTGCTGGGCTCCGTCGTCGCGGGGGGCGCGGCGGCCACCGCGCGCCCGAGCGCGCAGGCTGACGACGCGGTGCTTACCAGCCTCGAACGTATCCCTATCCCTAAGATTGACACGCCAAAAGGCGACGACAATCTTAGGGATTCGGAAAGAAGCCGACGTGACGTCAACCAATTTCTAAGATTACGATATAATATCATGTTCCGATTCGGATTTCTGAACTCGATAAAACTTGGGCTCTATCGCAAGTGTGCGGGTGGTAAACCTGTACGCGGAATGAAAGTAAACGACACATTGGACAGAGTAGGAGAGTGTATGGTTCAGCTTAGCATTAAATTCAATACGTCAGTCCTCAAAACATAGGGTAATCCCTGAGATGGGCATCGTGGTGAGGAGGTGCCCCCAGCACAGGGATAGGGATCTGCTCCAGGCCGGTAAGGTGCTGGCCGCCATCGTCGGCGGTGCTGGATCGGGCGGCGACGCCCCCGCCACCCCCGCGGGCGACGACGCCGTGGTCGCCGGGATCCTCGCCGGGCGCGCCGCGCCGCTGCCGCAGGCTGAGGGCGACGACGAGCTGCTGGGCAGCGCCCTCGGCGGCGGCCAGCAGCAGCACGACGACGCCGCGCTGAGGCCGGCAGGGCGCCGGGCGTCGGCCCGCACCGGCCCGGGCCGGGCCGAGACCCTTCGGGGCCTAAGAGACGGGGGTCAGTGCAAACGGGGGTCAGCCAGAGCGCCAGATCCTGCAGGAGCCTGCGAAGGCCCCCTCTGGCTGACCCGGGTTAGCGAGCCGCTCGTGGCCGCGAGGCGGCCGCTCGTATTGGCTGACCCGGGTTTGCGAAGACCTGCGTTGCAGTTTTTTTTTTTTTTTTTTTTTCCTGCATTGCAGTTTTTGGTTTCCTGCTGACCTGGGTCTGGAATGACCCCGGGTCAGAAGATCCCCGACCCCTGGGCCTTGGCATCGTTCGGAGGTGTGCATATTGGTTCTTGGCGAGGACCATCGAGAGCATCCTGGATCATCGGGCAAGAAAGCACGCGCAGAGTCGACGCATGCACCAGGAATGGGCTTCCGAGCGACGGCGAGGGGCCCCGTAGGATCGGTGTCTGCGCGCGCCTTCCCGGAGATCCGCTGCCTATCGTCTTGTCTTTTTGATGCGGGCCCCCTGGAAGTCTCGACCCTTTCCGCAGGGCCAGGCTTACATCCGGAGTCTTTGCTTGGACAGTCCCTGGGCCCAGCGAAGGCCCCTGGGAGCCGAAAACAACGAAGATCTTCCGCATGGAATTTTTCAATACGTTGGATGTCTGGGTTCGCGGCCAAGCCGATCCCCAGGACCCCAGGGGTCTGCCAGACCAGGGTTTGGCTACTTGCGTCGGAGTGACCTTACGCTGGATTGACCTTGGGCGTGGGTCCACGGGGGTCCCGCCAGCATTGGCTTGCGCTCTCGGGCTGCTTGGATTGATTTGCTCCCCCCCCCCCCTCCGCGGCCGTGGGCGTGGGCGTGGGCGTGGACGTTGGTGTGGGCGTCGGTGTGTGTGTGTGTGTGTGTGCGTGCGTGTGTGTGTGTGTGTGTGTGTGTGTGTGTGTCTGCGTGTGTGTTTGTGTGGGTGGGTGGGGATGGTTGTGGATGTGTGTGTGTGTGTGGTTCTCGCCTGCGCCGGGCGTCCTCTCCTCTTCCACCGTGCACCGCGGCCCACTTTGCATCTAGCGCGCCCCACTGATACCCGATCGCCGGCCTCTGCCCAGCCGCCGACGTCAACTTGTGTGTGTGTGGGTGTGGTTGTGTGTGTGTGTGGTTGTGGTTGTGGTTGTGGTTGTGGTTGTGGTGTGTGTGTGTGTGGGCTGTAGGTGTGGATGTCGTCGTGGGTGTGAGTGTGGGCGTGGGCGTGGGCGTGGGCGTGGGCTCCCACAGCCGCGCACCACGGGTCGCTCACACACCCGGGGTCATTGGCACGTGCGGCCGGAAGGGCCGGTGTCTGGCGTGCTCGGCGCCCTCCCGCGGAGAGGGGGGCGCTCCTGGGCACCGCGCCGGGCAGCCGCGGCGGTGCCCCTGTGGACGCGGGGTGGCTGGAGGTCCACGGTCCTCCTCCTCCTCCTCCTCCGCCGCCTCCTCCTCCTCCTCCTCCCCCCTCCTCCTCCTCCTCCTCCTCCTCCTCCTCTCCTCCTCCTCCTCCTCCTCCTCCCCTCCTCCTCCTCCTCCTCCTCCTCCTGCTCCTCCTCCTCCTCCCTCCTCCTCCTCCTCCTCCTCCTCCTCCGCCTCCTCCTCCTACCATATCTTCGGTGGCAAGCCATGGGGGCGTTGTGTGCCCTCGTGATTCTGTCTTTGGCGTCGACTGGCGTCGACTGGCGTCGATCAGCGTCTAGGTCTAGGAGTCGATGGGGTAGTGCCGATTCAGCGGCTCTCAGCGTCGATGAGGTTCACTGACAGAAGACGCCATGGCCACATCCATCGAAGAAGCAACAGCGCCATCAACATAAACTTTTGGCGCTCCGCGCGGATTCCTGGGATCCGCGCTGGGCCCCCCCTGGCGGCGCCTCCGGCGCCGCCCCTGGCGCGCTCCGCGCGCCAGGGAGGGGGTCCAGCGCAGATCGAAGGAATCCGCGCGGAGCGCCAAAAGTTTCTGTTGAATATGCCACTTCCCAGTCGTGCCCTGGGATCATGAGGAGTGGTCAATATGGATAAATGATCTGCCCGCCCGCAGGGGCCGCCAGATGAGCGACGCAGGTAAACGGGTTAGTTTTAACCGACACTGGCGCGTAAGGTCATATCGCGCAAGAGTCATTTCTTCTCGTCGCCCAGATGTCCATGTCCGTCGCTGCCAGAGTCCCTGGAACACGACCCCGCGGCAGCGGAGGTTGACATGCCATGAGATCCGCCGCAAAGAAATCCAGACATCGCGAAGAGCCAGCTCTGGAGTCTCAGACCCCATCTAATTATCTTCGC